GGTTTAGGGTTTAGGGTTTAGGGTTTAGGGTTTAGGGTTTAGGGTTTGGGGTTGTTTAGGAGATCATGCCTCTTTTTTTTTGGGGGGGGGGGGTGCGGGGGGGATCAAGGGCTTTTTAGGAGTTCCAGACGTTTAAAGGGTTCGCATGAAACTGGGTCTTGGGGGTTCAGGATTTCGGCATTGAGGGTGTGCGTGGCTTCCTCAACAAGTTGCGACGTTGACGCCCACAACCCAAACTCCGAACTCGAGCGGCGAGACCTTCTCCCCGAAATGCCAAGCCCATCATATGGGAAGTTCTCTAAATTAGGGCCCCTTTTTAGGGTCCTTTTACAAGGGTGCGTACTATAATTTTGGGACCCAAAACCCTAATTTGAAGAACTACCCATATCGCGACGAGAGACACAACAGATCCACCATTCCACCGTGCAAGCAAACAATCCCGCGCCACAAAACACAAAATCGGCACAACAAGCCACTACGAGAACCCTGAAACCCTAAACCCCGAACGCCCAAACCGCCAGGATCTAAGCTCTAGTCCCCGCCCATGTGGATTAAAACCCAAACCTTTAAAGCAAAACAACCCTGTGTCTTCCTTTTTGGATGAAGGCGGTTAAATTGAAAGAATAAGAATACAACTGAATAATAGCAGCAAGGACAAGAATCACATACCCTGCCATCGATTTCTGAGCTCACTGAGGCAGCTGCAGAGTCGCTCCTGGACTTGGCCCGAACGGAGCAGTTTCTCCGGCAGCGTCTGTTTTTTTTTGGTTTTTTGGGATATGGGAGTTTCCGAAAATAAGGGGTACCTTATTTGGAGGTCCTTCTACTATTTAGGGTACTATATTGGAATATTGGGGTCCCCTATTTTCAGAAACCCCCATATAGGATTTTGGGTTTTGGGCTTTGGGATGTTGGGTTTGCACGGTAACCCTTGGGGCTTAAGATTTGGAGCCTTCGGCTTTTCAAGTTTTGGGGGGTTCAGGATTTTTGCGGGGGTTTAGGCTCTTGGGTTATTGGGCTTTGGGGTTAGGCCTGTTGGTGTTTGGGATAGTTGAGTGTCTTTTGAGGGGTGTATGGGGTACTGAGCGGCATTTAGCGTCGTAGACAGTATCGTTCAGTGTTTAGGGTTCGTTGCTTCGGCAGGTTCTCTAGAATAAAGGGTCCGTGATGGCCAGAAGAACCAGGCAGCGGATGTCCAGAAAATGCTCCAGACGAGATAGTCATGAGTCATTTTTGGTAATTCATCATCATCATCATCATCATCATCGCCACCGGCGGCCACGTCATCCTCTTCGTTCTCATGATACTGTGTTTTTCGTGATTGCTATCGCCATTGCCATGCTGATGAGAGGGTGATGATGACGACGCTGATGAGGATGACGGTGACACGCTCCTTGCCAGATAGTGTTTACGCTTGCAAAAGGAGCGTCACCTGCTTTCCGTCGAAGCACCCTTTCAAGGCTTGGAGTGCAAAAAGCCTTCGTGCGGGAGGCGCGGTGCAGGTGTCCGGAATTTGCCGTTGGCAGAGCGCACGGCTGGTCAAGGCCATGACGACGCGAATGAAGGACGACAACGCAAAGGTGCGAGCCACTGCGCAGCCGCCTCAGAGGGGTCGCAGCCGATCAAATCCTAAAGTCATGCCGTCACGCCATGTCTGTGGCCCAGGTCCACCTGCCTGAACATGCTCAGCCTCCAAGAGGATGCTCTCTGCAGGCAGAAGCTCAGGCAGCGGCACAAGGCAGGGGTGATTTTTGTTGTTCAGCTTTGCACATTTCTCCGCTGGCATGTTTCCAGCGCCAGGCAAAGAAGAAGATTGACAGCACGCCCCTTGCCTGCACTCTGCGCGAGGGTCAGGTGAACTTGCCCGGAACCCTCTACCCAAATACACTCGACACCTCCTAAACAAAACCCCAAAGCCACAATGAGCCGTGAGACTCCCAAGACGAGGCGCGGTGAGCAAGCGGAGGTCGATGAGGACATTGCCTTGGAGGAAGAGGACATTGACTTGATGTTAGTATGTTGATATATTATCTCAAGCTCTACAAAACCAAGCTATACCGGATTCAATTCTACTGTAGCGAATTATACTCTTATATGTGTTTAACAAAACAGGCTGGAACTAGGCTTTTTTTGTGTCTTTGCATTCTTTCTAAACACTACAGGACATTGACATGCTCCGGGACAGCGCTCCTTGGTAGTTTCGAAACTTGCTCTTGTTTTTGTTGGTGGTTTGGGGGGGTTTGGGGGTTTGAGGGACCGCGGAGTTTGGGCTGTTTTTTTTTTTTTTTGGGGGGNNTTGGCGTTCAGGGCTCTTGGCTTCTGTTGTAGCATTGTAGCGGCTTGGTGAGGTCTTTCCTCGTGCAGCTGAGGTTCTGGAGCTGGAGGATATCGCTAGACTTGTGATTAATTTGACGAGACATGTGAGGGATTAAAGTAGCCTGAAGACATCTTGTCTCAGAAGTGCCTTCGTTCCTGTCGAAGCTTGGCGAAGGGTCTTTTGCTGACCATCCCTGAAGGGGTTCTTCTGCGGTCAGGCACCAGCCATGCCTCTCGACATTTGCATTTTTCACTGTGCAGTGCACCCAACAAGAGCCGTGATTCCAAGAATTTCATACCCCAAACTTCTCTCGAAGCTCCATACTGTTCGGGCCGGCCCTTGACTATTTGATGCCTGCTTCATCTCTGACAGAGAGACAGAGCAGGGAGGCTGTGGCTTGGGGACAATTTGCTGCTTCTTGTGCGTGAATCCCCTTGCTGACCAGCTCCGGAATCTTACTGATTCCCTGTTTGAGAGCGGCTAGGGAATGTTCTGCTTTCACTGGATCCCTCACCAAGAATTGTTCTTTTAAAGCCGCGGGCTTGCCGTTGATAAAACCCCTCAACTCATAAGAGCAAACACCACGGCAATCCCTGGTGGCCGCAGCGCGACAAGTCGATCCAGGCTCCGCCGAATTTCGCACGTCCTGGCCCGAAGCCATAATAACATATTTAGTGTTGTAAACCCAAGGGTTTATGCAGATTTTCAGATTATCATTATTCTTTTAGGTACCTTAAGGGGCTTCTAGCGAGAACCGAAAAGGCCGGAACCCCAAAAAACCAGGCAGTGCGCGGCTAGTCTGGACAGCTGCAAGACCGACCTGCCGGTGGCTTTTCAAACAGGTGACCCCAAAAAGGTGCAGGGTTTAGGGTTTAGGGTTTAGGGTGAAAGGGTTGAGAGGTTAATAGTTAAGAGTTTAGATGGCTTCGCATCTAGAATCTAGATGGCTGTCTGACTATCGCAGTATAGCGGCGCAGGTTCGTGATTCAATCCAGCTTGAACCGCTCTGAGAGGTGTGCCAGTCCCTACCAGAGTGTGAGTCCGGATCCCAGATTATGCTCGTTGCAGCTCCTTCGACAGTTTGCATTCGGAGAGTCTGACTTCCTTGGGCCTTCTGCTGCTTTCTTGCATAGCTTTCCAGCTTAACTCGATTACAGGGTCTTTAACAGCTTCCATTCACCACGATCCGACTTAAGGGGACCGGAAACCTTCTGCTTCCTTCAGGTTCTGGGTCTGGGGCCAAGAAGAGGGAGAACAAAAATGCTGGCGCTGGCCTCAGGCTGCTTGGAAGGTCTTGAAAATCGCGACCGTCGTTTAAGGAGGATTCTTTGATGGATTGCATGAGTTTTTTTGAAGCAACAGTATACGGGTCGTCGCGCAAGTCGACAGAGTACAGCGGGATTTTTGGTGTTTAGGGTTCAGAGTTTCGGGTTCAGCGGCCTTGCCGGAATGCGTTCTCTTCGGAGCAACAGTCAACTCATCTAACGATCAAGCACGAAACCTTTACAATGTAGGGTTTAGGGTTTAGGGTATTCATGTCTGACCAACCACTATTGTATTGCCCTTCTCGATAGATTGCTCGGAGGCACTCACATCTTGTACTGGTTCCTTTTGCACCCACACGGTGCCCCATGTCCCTTGTGTATGCACCCCCGGGCCGCAGGAACCCCTGTTGGCTCCTCAATAGTATGGGCGGTATTCACTCGACAGATCTTTTTTGCTACCCCCCAAAAAAAAGTTAGACGGCGTGAGGTGGGTAAAGCATCTGTGACATATGACAAGACAACAAGCCCTACGCCGGAACACATTTCTTGTCAGGTTCTAGGCTTCAGGGCTCCCGGGAGTGAACTCAACTGCCCTTACTGTACTATATATACTATATATACTATATATATATATATACACTATATATACTATATATATTTTATATACTATATATACTATATGCTCAGTGGCATTTTTTCCGCAGGGGCCCTGTGCAGCTTCTCGCCTCCTCCGCCCCGCGGACTCCAGGGTGGATCAAAATACCTTTTCCCAGTTTTGTTCAGTTTGAGGAGAGATCGAATCCTAAACCCAAGAAAGGTAGGGTTTAGGGTTTAGGACCCTAAGCCCTAAAACCCTAAACCCTGCCTTTCTTGGGCCTCAAAGAGGCTGGGCCCACTCCGCGAGGTTCAGACTGGGGGATGATGGCCGCGAAGCGGGCGAAGGCAAGCTTGAAGTATATATATATATATATAGTCTTGAAGTATATATAATATAATAAAAAAAGTATATATAGTATATATAGAAATATATATCGTAGAATTCAAGAGTTTGGTTCAGGGCTTCAGCTGAGTTCCGCAGACACGTTGCCAGGGTGGATAAGTGGCAGCAGAGCCTGCCATCCTCCGGGGCAGCAGGCACCTGGCCGGGCCGGCGTGGGGTTTTCACCCTCGACCCTTTAGGGTTTAGGGTTTA